AATTTTTGCTGAGGGTGCATACTGAGATGCTCAGTAGAGAATGTCACCTCTCAGGATGCCCTTGGGAAAGGTTTAGAGTCTCAATAGGCAGCCAGCAGTGAGTGCTGGGAAAGGAAAAGCTGGACAGGAAACAAGTACATATGGAAAACAAGTGGTAATCAAGCACTGACTGGTACCATTGCTTAGTAGGCTGGACTTTACCCAGTGGACCACACTTCTACTCTTCACCGTCATCTGTGGACCACCAGTGATAACAATAAGAATAATAGTAGATAGTACATTATGTCCCTAACATGGAAAAAGAATTGTTTTAAGCATTTTACATGAATTAAATAGTCCTCCATAAAGAAAGTGTCTTCTATTTTACAAATGAGAAAGTATTTATTAGCTTTTCAAATTCGAAGAGTTCAAAATAGCAAAGGGAGGATGGAAAGCCAGGCAGGATGCCCGCCGGTTGATCCTGACCACAATCACCACGTCTTTGTTCTGCCTCTACCTGATTTTATCTCCACTCTGGATCTCAGTTCAGCACAGTTAGTTCTCAGGGCTGGAAAGAAATTTAACTACCTCATTTCTTCTAGGGAAAGTGTATCTTGGAAATGTCTTAAAGGTGTTTTTAAATCAGTATGTCAGCTCCTAGCAGAAAAGTGCAGGCAATATTTTTGTTCTCTTGTTCCTTCATTGCCTCTCTCCATGGCCATTCCCATTGGTGTAAGAAAATCACAATCTCTTGTCTCCCAAGATTCTCAAAACCCAAACCTCTGGGGGCCATATGGGTGTGCATGCTGTCTCACCCTCAGGGACTCATGCATCACTCACTGTTTAGTTGAGCTTTTACCTACAACTTTTTCACATGGGGTTCAAAAATCTTTTTTGGGAAGCCAGGCGTGTGGTGCACATCTATAATCCCAGGATGCTGAAGCAAGAGGTTCATCACAAGTTTGAGGCCGGGTTACATAGTGAAACCTGTCTCAAAAATAAACAAAAGAAACTTATTTATGGGGCTGGGCATAGTGGCACACATCTATTATTCTGGTGGCTTGTAAAGCTAAGGAAAGGAGATTGAAAATCTAAGAACAGTCTAGGCAGTTAAGCAAGATTCCTGTCTCAAAATAATAAAAATAAAAATGACTGAGAATATAGCTCAGTACAAAAAGTCTGGATTCAATACCTAGTAGCTATATATATATATATATATATATATATATATATATCTCCAGAAATCGATCAGCTGGCTTGCTACTCTCCATCGCTACCCTAGGAACTGATACACAAAACTTCCCTCTCATTGTTCCCCCTATCCAAACACAAATTCCTCGTAACAGCCAGAAAAGAATAGATAAGGCTATTTCAGATCCCAGTCTCAATTTATTCTTGTGCAATTATTGAATATCAACTGCCAATATCTATATCTCCTTTTTCTTTTCAAACTTGTAGAAAAAGAACATAACTTAATTTCCTCCTTATCCAGTAATTAGAGAAATGCTTTGATCAGGATCACACATGAATTTTTTAAAAGTCACTCCCTATATCTTTGTCCTTCAAAGAGATGTATAATCCAACTCATTCCTCAAACTTCCTGCCTACCAGAATGTTTCTGCAAAGGAATAACAAGGCCCTGAAAAGATAATGCTTCACGTGGCAACAAAATAATATTGTCGTCACCACCTTCATGGCCCTAGACTGCTATCTTTAAGAAAAGATATGAAGTCTGGATTTGTTTAAAAATAGTATAGGGGGATAAGAAAACATAGTTAAAATAGGTTTGTTCTGAATAGATACTGGTCAATGATGATGGTATATTATGATGGTAAGTAGTGGCTTTTATTACCATATTGTATTTCCTTTTGTAAATTTGTAACATTTTCCATTAAAAAGTTGAAGGCAATCAAAAACCTAAAAAAGGTTGCTGGAATACTGGGACTGGAAAGACCCAACAAGAAGCCAACTAGCCAGCCTTGCTGGTAAGCCTCACAAGCCACAAGCCATGGGGATTTCAGGAAGAGAAAAGTCAGATAGCACCTCCCGTGAGTCTCCCAGCATGTGGGCTAAAAATTAACTTCCCTTTCTCCCCATAAGCAACCGCTCCTATTCAATATAGTACTGTAAATACTAGCCAGGGCAATTAAACAAGAGAGAGAAATAAAAGAGTCAAAGATAGGAAAAGAGTAAGTTAAATTATCATTATTTGCAGATGACATGATATTCTACATAGAAGATCCCCAAACCTCCATTGAAAGACTCCTAGATATAATAAATAAATTCAGCAATGTAGCTGGATACAAAATCAATATTCAAAAATCAATAGCATTTCTATACACTAACAAGAAAATCACGGAGACAGAAATCAGAGAAGCTACATCCTTTACACTAGCATCCAAGAAAATGAAATGCTTAGAAATTAATCTCACAAATGAAGTAAAAGATCTATAAAGGGAAATTATAATACCCTGAAAAAAGAAATTGAAGAGGATCTCAGAAAATGGAAAGACATCCCTTGTTCATGGATAGGAAGAATAAATGTGAAAATGGCCATTCTCCCAAAACTGTTACTCAGATTCAATGCAATCCCAATGAAAATACCATCAACATACCTCATAGATCTAGAGAAATCACTCCTAAAATTCATCTGGAACCAGAAAGGACCTAGAATAGCAAAGACAATTCTAAGCAGCAAAATCAAGGCAGGAGACATCATAATCCCTGACTTGAAGTTATACTACAAAACTACTGTAATAAAGTCAACATGGTACAGGAATAAAAACAGATCTGAAGATCAATGGAATAGATTAGAAGATACAACCACAACTACCAACACACTCAACCACCTTATCTCTGATAAAGGGGCCAAACATGTTCACTGGAAGAATGACAGTCTCTTTAATAAATGGTGTTTGAAAAACTGGCTCTCCATATGCCGAAAACTAAAACTAGACTCATGCCTATCATCATGTACTAAACTAAAATCTAAATGGATCAAAGATCTGAATATTAAAGCAGAAACACTAAATCTGTTAGAAGACAAAATAGGTAAAAATCTTGAAGACATAAGGATAGGTAGAGAATTCATGAACAGCAATCAAACTGCACGGGAACTACTTCCCAGAATCAATAGCTGGGATTACGTCTTATTAAAAAGTTTCTGCATGTCAAAAGAAATCTCCAGTATAGTGAAAAGAAAACCCATAAATCGGGAAAAAATCTTAGTGAACTGTCCCTCAGACAAAGGACTTCTGTCTAAAACATATAAAGAATTTTAAAAAATCAGACCCCCGAAACTCAAGGACCCAATCCAAAAATGGGCATCTGAGATGAATACACAGTTCTCAGATGAAGAAATACAAATAGCAAATAAATACATGAAAAAATGTTTATAATCATTAGTCATTAGAGAAATACAAATTAAAACAACACTGAGATTCCATCTCACTCCATAAAGAATGGCCAGGACCAAGAAAACTACCAACAACAAATACTGGAGAGACTGTGGTGAAAAAGGAACTCTCCTACACTGTTGGTGAGAGTGTCAACTGGTACAACCACTGTGGAGGTCAGTCTGGAGATTCGTCAAAAAGCTGGGATTGGAAGTCCCATGTGTTCCAGCTATTCCACTGTTAGGCATATTCCCAGAAGAACTGAAAACATCATACCACAGTGATATATGTGCACTCATGTATATAGCAGCACAGTTTGTAATAGCCAGATCTTGGAAACAACCTAAGTGTCCATCAATTGCAGAATGGGTAAAAAAGTTGTGGTATTTTTATGTAATGGAGTACTACTCAGCTATAAAGAATGGTCACACTGAGATATTTCTAAATAAATGGGTGCAACTTCAGACCATACTCTTAAGTGAAATAAATCAAACTCACATGTATAAATACTATATAGTCTCCCTAGTGTAAGAAATGGTAAGAGTATATTAAGAGTTTATGGTAATCATGATTCCCCATTACATTGCTTTGAAGCCTTATAATGATTGCTTTCATTAGTGGAATGGGTTTTTTGGATTTTATTATCTGTGATGGTATGAACAGCTATTTTGAAGAAAACAAGTCATTATAATAGCCAGTGCTGATTTATAATATCATCTTACTCTGAAGTCCTACCATGCTTTTGTTCTTCTGTTTCCATTGGTTCTATCATGTTGTATCTTATTGGATTGTATTATGTATGATAGTATAAACAAATTTTCTATGTAAAATGAAATAATAGAGTAGCCATTGTTCGTTTTCTGTTATTTGGTTCTGAATGCCCTGTAATACTTTCATTCTCTTGAATGGTTTTATACTATTTTGTTATGTTTGATACTATTGTATATGAAGTTATGCTCAACTATTTCAAAGAAAGAGACATTATAGTAGTTACTGTTAATTATGGGTTGTCTTCTGGTGAAGTACTGTGTTGCTCACATTGTTCTGTTCTGATCTCCTCTGTTATGTCCTCTTTTGTCTTAATCTTTTTAAAACAAAAAATAAAAAATTTTTAAAAAGCAACCAGTGGGTTCTGAGGACAGGCTGAGTTGATAGCAACTAAGGTGTATAAAGCAACTAAATGCTTGTATTATTTTGTTGATTTTGTAGGCTTGGGACCAGCAGCCTGGGCTTCTCTTGGGAGGATGATACTATGCAATATAGCAAATATGGGGGATTTCCTTCTAGCTTGTCTTTGAAATCCAATACTGTTTTTGCTTTGTTCTTGTTTTCCTTTATTCAATATTCTGTTCTGATTGGTTTTATTCTGTTTAGTTTTTGGTTTGATTTTGCTATACCTGATGGAATGGACAACTATTGTGAAAATAACAAGATATACTATGTTAGCTATTGTTGTTTTCCTGGTGTCCTGCTTTGAAGTTCTGTACCAAATTTTGCTGCTGTTTGTTTGTTTGTTTTGTTTTGTTGGTGCCCGGGATGAAACTCACGACGGCACACTTGCAAGGCAGGCACTTATGCCACTGAGCTGAATCCCTGGCCCTGATGCTTTGTTTTAATTGGCTTTGTTATATTTTGTTTTATTGGAGTTTACTATCTTTAAAATTTAAAAAATAAAATGAAAGGTTTCTAAAGCAAGAAATTCAACCTCAATGACAATATTTTTGATTTCTCTTTTATTTCATTTTTTCTTACAATTTCCAGCATCCTATTAAACAAGAATAAGTGAGATTTGGCTGGTTGTATGTTCCTAGTTCAACAAATTCAGACAGAGCTGGCACTGAAATTAGCAGTGTTGACTGCTCACCAGTGAGCCAGCCAAGACTGTTCAGTCAGGGCCACCCTAGGACCTACCTATGGCAGAAACTTTTTCAGTCACTGCTCTGGTCTAGACACAGGTTGGAAGTTCATAGCTCCAGCTTCTCTGAGTCAGCAAAATGATGCTGTCACCAGCGAGGTCTGAAGTGCCTCTCATTGGAGCAACATCCTGGAGGTGTCCTGCCAAGTGAAAATGCCAGAAATAACAGATTGTTGGAGGGTGTTGAGATGGGATGTTGAGAAAACGGTGTCATGGGAATTCTCTTCTGGAACTTAGACAGCAGAGTCCAGAAGAACATCTGAAGACTTAGTTGTAAGGAATTTTAGGCCCCCAACAAGCCCAAGGCATTGTAATTCTGTAGCAGTTTATGGTCCAGTCTTGGCCTTTTGTTCATAAATCTGTCAGGGATGCTTCCCATGAAGGATACTGCTGGCCTGGGGCAGCCTCAGGAGTGCATGAAGACTGTTTAGCTCTAAAGATGAGGTGCTCGCAGCCATGTTCCACCTGGGCCAGAAGTCTCCTTCCCTCTTCCCCTTTCCACACCCTCATTCTTCCTACCATCCTCAAGAGGTTCTACAGTTCTGAGACAGCCCCGTGGTTCAAAGGGCTCCAGTGGCTAAGCCCTCCAACAAGTGTCAGAACCATATTCTGAAAGCCAGAGCAACCCCGCAGTGCCACAGTCACCTACCTGTGCCGGAGCCCTCACCCAGGACCAAAGGTTTCCTGACACCTCTGCATCCAGCCCAGTAAGTACCTCTCCTTTGATTTCTTAGGGAGATTCAGAGACATGACCTCACTTGTGCATGGATGCCTATCTAAGGGGAACAGGCCAGACTGCCCCCGTTCTGTGCCACACAGATTGAAAGAGATGATGGGTTAAGAAGAGCAGCCTCAGTCAGGTCCATGCCCAGGCTAAGCCCTATAGGGGCTTAGCAGAGATGTGGGTGAAGAGATGCTACCTGCTTCTCTCTCCCCATCCTCTTCCCCAGTTCACAGTGCTGCACAGTTGGATTCACTGTGACAATCTCTGCAAGCCTCCATTCTTGGTACCACCAGCTCACACCATCCCTGCTAGCAAGCTCCAGTGACTGTCATCCTCAGTGCCCTAACACAGTGCTACACTGTCAATCTCACTTCTCCACTCTGCCTCTCACTGTCCTCCCTAGCACACTTGGCTCTCAGCAGGGTAAAAAGCCTCCATGGTTCCTGGGATATCTCTGTGACCTCAGGATGACTTCCTAAACCCTAAGGTCTAGTAGAGTGTCATTCCTCAGTGAGGGCTTCAAAGGCAGCTTGGACAGCATTCATAGCATTGCATTGTAATTGCTGGGTTACTTCCCTGGTCACCCAAGCAAAACTCAGAGATCTTGCAGTGTTCTCCCTACCGCTGTGTCTGGCACACAGCAAGTACTCAAATCCTGAGAATATTGTTTGATGCAGGCCTCCAGATGCTTGCTTGGTATAGACCATGTGCTCAGTTGAGAAGACCTGCCCAAGATGACCTGGTTCTATCTTTATGTTCCCTTCCTTAAAAACATCAAACATTCTCCACTTCTCCCACATTTCTGTCCCTCAACAATCTGTTTCCTCCAGATCAGTCCTCAGAATTTTCCCCTCCTGGAATGTTCCTGTAAAGGAATAAGGATGTCCTCCAGAAATAATGGCCCAGCAGCAAAAGGACACTGTCACCTGTCTTCTTCATGGTCCCAGACTACAGCCAGCTGAACTCACAAACAATGGATCCTGGGGGAAGTGGGCCCTACACCAAATTCAGTATGGTTCTGTTGCTTTCTAATGAACACTAATGAAAGAATCTTGAATATAGTAGCTGAGAGACCTCAAAACGGTGTGAACTCTAAAATGGGGAAAATTTGAATTTAAGCACTGTTTTGCCTTTCATTCTTTCTGTGCCATTTTGGTCATATGCTAAATGCATATAACACCTACTGTGTCAAATTTCCCTCTATAACAAATAATACTAAATCTTAGTAATTCAGTGCACTAAAATGTTTGTTTCTCCCTCACATGAAGTTGAATATGACATTCAAGTGGTGCAGTTCTCTTGAGTGGCCATCCAGCTCAGTAATGCACGCTCCTCCCTACCCATGGCTCTACTGAACCACATACTTTGGGGCCCCACTGTGATCATCTCACTCAGCTAGTCATCTGGAGAAAAAACAGGGTATTGAGGGTTGCTTAGAGTTTTGGGGGAAAGTCCAGAAGAACAATCTGTATCACCCAAGCTCCAGTCAACATGTAATAACTCCCAAGTGGAAATAAGAGGAGCCAGGACAGGAGATGTAGAAAAGTGTTAAGCTCTAAAAAATATAAGGCATCCCTTCCACTCACCTGTAGAATTGTTACATTTAATGTAACATTTAAAGGCATGGAAAAGAGTCCTAGCCCAAGGATGAATGCTAAATTAATAATAATTTCATTTTTGTTTTTGCCTTTGGTGATGCTTCTGGGTGGACAGTTTCTAGAATGATCTCTGTCTATAAATGAGTCTCCCTTCCCTGTCTTCTTCTCCTTTTCCTCCTGCTCCTCCTTCTTCTTCCTCTTGTCTTCTTCCTTGCCTCTTTGGTCTTCTCTTCTTCTTTTAATGGAGTTGCTGAACAATCTTTTCAGACGTGAAGATAGTCAAAATCAAGATGGAATCACTTGTATAAAATCCTAACAACAAATAAATAAAACCAAAGATTACAAAGGGGAGCTCTCATGCACCATTCATGCTTAATAACAGGAAGTTTCAGCAGCTCTGCCAGAGCCTTGCCTAAAAGCTACTGCTGTTTTACACAAGGAGCAATTCCACAGGACATCTGTCCAGCAGTCCCATCTCCCACCTTGGGCTGATGCCACCCTTGTCATTGATCCCAGGACCAAGAATGATTATTCTAAGATAACTTACATAATCCTCCTCATTCTACCTTTAAAAACTTTACCTTGCCTCAACCTCCTTAAGTACAGTCATAGTTTATGCAATGCTTATTCCCATTCATCATGACTCCAGGCTAAATCTTATTTTTGGAGAACCTCTGTTAATAATTTAGATTGACAGGCACCTGCCAGTCATCAGACCCCCACGAGAACTGAGAGATCCTCCTCCCTTTCTTTCTTCTTCCTCTTCCTCCTCCCAGCTTTCCAGAACATTTGGGAAGCTCTGCACTAAGCATGATAACAAATGTGTCCTCTTGACTGTCGCCATCACACGTATTAATCCATAAACACACATTCTGTCCTGCCCTGAGAGAAGACTGGTCCAAGATGACTGGACTTCTGAATCTCTTTGAGGTGTAAGGAGTCTCCCTGCAGAAACATGACTCAGGGCACAGTCATTGGCTACTCAGACAGGCTTTGCTAGCAATTGGATGAGACATGTGGGAGGGGACAGGCAGAAGCCCAGACACATTTCAAGGTGCTAGAGAGGATTATGAGGATGATGACAGGTGATGAATTCAGATCCTTCCTTACCTTGACCTAGTATTTTTTTTTTTTTTTTTTTTGTCTTTTTCATTTTTATCGGTACCGGGGATCGAACTCATGACTGCCTGCTTGCAAGGCAGGTGCTTATGCCGCTGAGCTAAATCCCCAGCCCCTACCTTGACCTAGTATTTAGTTGTATCTGAGATGGTTTCCTCAAGGATGAAGAGATTTTCTGTGAGATTCATGCATTCTTGCTTGCCTTTCCATTGAGCCCCCAATACTTTCTCATCTGGATTTCAGAGACCCTGTTGCTAACATTGCTCCTTAAGGTAGAACCAGCATCTGATCTTTGAGTGGTGATTGAGCTGTCAACTAGTCACCCTCCTTCCTATAGTTCCATGCTCACAAGGACACTCCACCTTCCCATCCCAAGATCCATGACTTGCTTGTGGCCTTGTTCATCCACCCTGGACCCCTCTCTAGTGGCTGCTTGCCACACCTGTTTACCACTCCTCAGTTCCTCTGGGGAGAAGAGCGCAGAAACAAGGCCATGAGAATCTATTGTTTTCACTTTACTTTCAAGGCTTGGAAGGCAAGGATGCCAGACACTTTATGCCTAAGAAATGATGCAGAATATGAAGCCTTTGACCATGAGAATCTAGGAGATCTCATCTCTCATTGATGATCTATGCTTTGTCACATCTCCGGGAAACCACAAGATGGAAACACGCACATGTGTGCTCAAACACACACACACACACACACACACACACACACACACACACACACAAAACCACATACACAATTCCAACAAAATTGTCCAAGCCCCTAATACAGATGTGGGAAACACACCAACCAATTTCTCATCCAGCTTCAGGACACCATGTCACGTTCAGTCACTTTGATCTTCACAGCAACTGGTTACAGTTTCTGGCTTATTGTCAATCATTGTAAAGACTAAATCTCCATGTCTTGCTCAACAGGACTTCAAACACTATCACTGGCTTCCTTTTCCATTTTTTTCTTTTGACGTGCATAATGCTTTTCTCCTTCTTTTCTTTTGCCTTCTTTCCTTTTAAGAATACTTCATTTAAAACCAAATAAGTCTCTTTTTTCTATCATTATATTGATGGGTCATCATTACAGTAATCCTCCCCACTCCAAACTCCCTCTTAGCAACAAACTATATGCAAATGTTTTTACCTATCAGCCTTTATTAGGGTGGAGATGAGCTCAACTTCCCTCGTATCAGTGATGAGTATTTCTTCTATTTGTTTTTTTGTAACTAGGGCAACTCTATAACTGTAAACATTTCTTAGGGCAAAAAAAATCTCCCTGGGAGGACAAAGCAGGTTATTTTGCTTTTAGAGACAGATTTGCCCGTGGATAAAGCCAGGTCTGCTCAAGATCTTTGCATAGCAAAAACTCCATAATGCAGTATCCAAAACTCTCTCTTTAAAAAAAGTTGCACACTACCTATAACAAAAACTACCTTGAAGATGTTTCTCACACTCAGAATCACAAACTACGCTAGTGAGACATTTTTCTCAGAAATAAAGCAATCCACAAAATTTGCAGAAGACAGGTATGAATGAAAAACCATCTCACAAACCTTGCTATATCTTGTGGGAAACACATACTTGGCACATCTGATTCCTTGAGATATTATTGAAACATTTGTAAGCCAAAAAATTATTTCAAGAGCATTGATTTAAATAAATTTTGTTGAACTATCTATAAATATTTTCCCAGTGATAAGAAATACTACCTTGTTCAAAACTTTTATCCCTGAAATAATAGTTTTTAAAGATTTAGTTAATCATGTAATATCAATATTATTTTTCACTATAGTGTGTGAGAATAATCATTCTTTTCCTATAAATGCACCTATTTGGTTTTACGATATGAATATTATCCTGTATATTTTATTATTACATGGCCATGTTAGTCATCCTAAATCGAAAACTCATACCCTGAGAGCTCAGAGTATGACTTAGTGGTATGCACTTGCCCTAGCAGGCAAGAGGTTCTGATTGTCCCCAGGACCACAACCCAAACACACACACACACACACACACACCTGCACATGTGCACACATGTGCACACACACAAAGAGAAAAGCCATGCCTCTGGGTATGGAAGATGATATCTCTCTTAAGGGTGAGATCATTCTTTATATCACTCAACAGTTGGGAGTGTCTCTCACAACTAAAATGATGTGTTCTAAACCTTGATCCAGGTGATCATTCCATGGTTGTATATATGTGTAAAAATTTAGCAAATGGTATGGATTTGTGCACATTTCTTTGTTAGGATATTTCCCTATAAAAGCAGAATAAAATCATCAGAAGGAAGGCTGAAAGTAAACTTTAGAGGGAATTTCTGGTTTCTCTTGGTTTTGACCAACTGCCAAAATATTTCCCAAATTGTAAAAGAAAGAAAATAATAGGAGACTAGGCAAAACATCTGTGAACTTTTGCCAACCATTTAAAGGATAAGGGTTACATTTCTAAGTAAATAGTACATGCTAATACTTCTCAAATTTAATTTGTTTTATGTTTTTGAATTTTCTGTATTTATACCCTTCCTTCCCATTTCTGAGACAAAGTACAGTTGATTCTTGTTATTCACAGCAGTTATGCTCTCTAAAGTTGCCAAGAACACTGAATCAGCAAACACTGAACCTTTGCTCCTAAGGGAAATAGAGGGTAGGTTCTTGTCAGCCTCTGGTTACATTTTCACCCACCAATCAATATATAGCCTTGTTGTAAGTGTGTTTCTGCTTAAAGGCTCCTTATTTAAACCTTGTTGATTCATTGACACAGAGCTCACTGCCAGTGCCTGAACTAAGCTTTGTGTGCTGTAAGGCACATTCTCCCTCTACTCAGGAGCACTAGGCAGCTCTTTCATACTAGGTCTGAGAGCCAGTTTGAAAAGGAAAAAAGAAAAAAAAATCATCAAAATGCAAAAAAAAAAGTGACACTAAATAGATCATGTAAAAAGTAGTCACAGAATGGAATCTGAAATAAGAAAGCAGAGTGTTACCTTCTTCAGCCTCAGCTAGAAATGTATATCAAGTGACTCAAGATTTTTGCCACTCTACACATATCCATGAATAAGCGTAGAAGCTTTGCATGTACAATACTGACTTTGAGGTTACAAATAAACTTTACCAAGTAGGTGAGTTGACAAACACAGAAGCCATGAATCCTAAGGACCAATAGTATAGTATTTTGAAAATCTGAGCTTAGTTTAGTTGTGGAAAGTGAAACTAGGAGAAGGAGCTATTGTCTTCAGCAACAATTATCAAACTACTACCTGTTAGAATCTCCTGGGAAGCTTTATAAATGCTCATGTCCAGACTGAACTCTACCAATTATCTAAGACTCTCTGGAGCAGTTACATGAGAATTAGGTACCAGTATTTTAAGTCCTTGGGGATGATTACAGTCATTAGGAAAATTTGAAAGCCAATGGTCTTTATTTTGACCAATGGGCATAGCTCATGTTGCGGGCTAGGATGGTGTCACTGGCAGCAGCAGTTAAAAGGACTAAAAACCTCAAGTGGTGGTTAGATCATCACATGTGTTAATTATCTGTTGTTTTGCAGCAATATCTATCATCTCAGAGGGTCTGTGGGTTGGGGATGATGCAGGTCTGACCTCCTTGGGTCCCTGAGCTCGGCGTCTATCACAAAGCTGAAATTAAAGTGTCACAGGGTCCTACAGTCTCTTTTAAAGATATTACTAATGAAGAGAAGGATCTGGTTCTAGGTTCAGTCCAACAGTTGCTGGTACAATACAGTTCTTCATGGGCTGTGGGTCCCAGAGCCCAAATTTCGCTCCTCATTGGCTGTTAGCTGGAGGCTGCCCCCATGTCATGCCAGGAGGAAGCCTCCACAGGGGAGCAACAATGTGGCAACTGGCTTTTATGAATGTGAATAAGTGAGAAAGCAACAGAGAATGTCCATGAGGGAAGCCATAGTCTTTTTGCAATTCAAATTAGAAGCAATATTCCATTCTATTCATTAGGATCACGGGGTCCAGCCAACACTCAAGTGGAAGGAGTTACACCAGAGTATGAATATCAAGAGGTAAAATCATGGGTGACATGTTCAAAGCTGTCTACCACACCACACTTCCTACTTTGGGAATACCAGTTTGGTTTTAGGTAAAGAGTTTAGTATTTCCTTGTATCTACACTTTCAAATAAAATACCCATTTGGGAATTTTTTCATCTCCTGAATTATATGCAGATATATTGACACACCCCAGGATTTCTTTCTCTTGTTCTTAATTTTACCTGTTCATTGCTGGTGGCCACCACACAATTGGGAAGACATATAAGATGTGATTAAAATATATCTTGAATGTTTAATTTTAAACATTTACTACAGTAAAAGACATTGCCATTACTCTCCCTCAAAATACTCCCCCTTACTTCAAACACACTTGGTACGCTGTTCTTTCTACCTTCTAGTGCAGTTCTGAGAGTCTTCTTTCATGAGTGTTTTTATGAGGTGTAATCAAAAATACAATGAATGTTACTGCCAAGTGCTGTCAAACGAAAAATAAGCTCATAAAAATATGGGGTGTCCTCATCCAACTTATTGCCTGGATGTAGCATCATGTAACTTTTGGCTTTTCCTTAAAGTCAAAATGACATTAGAGTTAAACATTTTGAATCAATTCAGGACATTGAGGAAGCCATGGCAGCATAACTAAAAGTACTCATGAAAGAGAACTGCCAGAACGCTTCAGAAAGCAGCAAAAAAAAATAAGTGTGTTTGAAAGGAGAGCAAGTAATTCAAATTATTGTAATACTTTTTATTTACACCTATACAAAATTTTTGGTCATACTTCATATCTTCAACCAAAAACTACTTACTTTCTTTCAAGAGGTGAACCAGAACATCAAACCAGAAAGTGAAGCCATAGGATGATATGCTATCAAGCTGGTCCCTCCTGGCCTATTGAGACTGTCTTGGGATAAATGATGGATCTTCTTCAGAACTGTCTGCCCAAGGATTAGAAAGGTACAGCATTCCTCTAACTCCCATTCCCTTGGCTACAAATGGCCTGTATATTGCTCCTGAGTGTGCTCTGAGATGGTGTCCCCGTGGCACAGGAGCTGCAGGACAGAAAAGCACATATCCAGAGCGCACCAGACTGGGAACAGGGCTGGAGGGAGTCCACAGGAGAGGCTGGGTTAGTCAGGAAGGAGAAAATCTGAAAGAATTACTTGGATAACCAAAAATAATTAAGAGAAAGAGTAGTGAATTAAAAAGGAATAAAGGAAGGACAGAGGGAAGAAGGAAGGAAAATTGAACAGTGCTCCTGGCAGCTGTATTTCTCGCAACTCTTCGCCTCTGCTTAGCTGAGTCGCTGTCAACTCCTGCCACCTGGCAGCTTCCAACTCTGTTGCTCCATTGCAAAGGAGGGGTACTGGCTCTGAAGTGCCCTCAAAGGCAGGATGAAAAGGGCCATTTACAGTTCCTTCACAAGGCTTTCACTTAACCTACTTCATTTTACCCTTGCAATCAAGTGTGAAGTAAACAAGAGAGAGCTTTTAATCTTTGTTTTACAGAGGAGGAAATGGGAGCCCTGAGAGGTTAAGTGATTTGTGATTTGCTCAAGGTCACTCAGTTGATAAGTGGCTGCCGCCAAAGCCTGGCCTCAGTCCCAGCCATGTGACCTCAAGAGCAAATATGTTTTTCTTCACAGAGATCTGGCTTCTAAGCTCCACAACCTGATGACTAGCACAGAGGTCTCCAAACCTCCTAAATTCTGCAGATATTGGGCAACAGTTTATTGTAACTTGAGTATATATCAAGTCTTTTACTAAGTATTTTACATGCCTTACCTTGTTTAATCCATATTGTAGTCAGGGTTTGCAGGAAAAACAAGACAATCCAGGACACATAATTTATAGAATTATTTTATAATAGTCACCCAAAGAGTTAAATACAAAAAGTGCAGGAAACCTGTCCACACACTAAGACCCAAGGTCCTGGATCTCACAGCAATGTCCTGCATGAGACCAGATGAAGACCTAGAGCCCAAGACAATGCCCACCATGAGTCCAACTGGAGGCCTAGTGCCTGTGACAATGTCTCATGCAAGTCTGTTTTATTGATCTGTACTGGAAAGGTCCAAAGGTCAGTGGTGGAAGCTAGAAAGTTGGTACCATTGGGAGGAAGGTTCTGTGCCAGAGTCGAGGGCTCTGGACTGGAACCAGGAAGCATATTCAAGGTAAGGACCAGAGCTCCACCGATAAGCACCACAGCCATCCTCAGCAACCATGAGGTCCAAGCTCCTCAGACATGAGAACAGCTGAATTCATATCAGGAAGCTTGACAGGCTTCCCCTGGAGACTGAACAGCACATCATCATCCCCTCCAGAGCCAGGAAGCGATGCTCAAAATAAGGACCAGAGCACCCCCAAAGTGCACCACAGCCACACTCAGCAACAACAAGGTCCCAAGCTGCTCTGATGATTAGAATAGCTCAGTTCATATCGGAAAAGAAGCTCTATAAACTCCTTCAGGAGAACCAACAACGCCACAAAACCAACCCTAAACTCTTCCTGTCCAATTCTCCTTTTTATCTTGGCAAATATCCTTGGGTGGGCCATCCACACTCGGCACCACACTGATTCAGTTCAGCTGGTATTACAAGTTGACCACCAGTTATCAATCCACCACAATCCACATAACAATCCTATTACAAATGACACTGTGGTATGTGAAGTGTAATGACTTTTCTGGGCACAAAAATGCAAACCTAGCATGCAAATGTGAAGGTTTGTTTCCAGAAGCCATAACAACTATATTATTAGATGCCTCTTTTTAAAATAGGCCCATTTGAGATGCCTTAGAATGGAATCTTTAGAGGGAGATTTTAACCAATGTGAACCAACTTTTAAGTAATGATGAGTATTGATTTTCTCCTTTTTCCTGAACTTAATACCATAACAAACATCTTCAGCTTCTAATCCATTTGCACTCCAGGGTCTCACCAAAAGAAGTGTGATCTTGAGCCAGTGCCCTGAACCTTTCTGTAAAACAGTAGTCAGTAAGTATTAGTTAGTTGGTTGACTGATTGGTTGAATATATTAATGAATTACGTTCCATCAGTAGTCTAGCTTCCCCTCAATCCCTTCTTCACAAAGTCACAAGACCTGACATTTCCATGTTATGCTAACCAATTAGAAAGCTTAATGAAAATAGTAAGTAGCTAACTTGGATCACAGAGTTGTTTGACAAAGGAGGCGGGAACTCATTAACAGGTTAAGGAAGTATCCAGCATTCATTTCTCTAGTCACTCTTCCCCTAAGACCCGGTGGCACCCTTCAGAAGAACAAGTACAAGATGATGGAAAAGGGGGAGAAAGTAAGAAAAGGTCTAGAATCAAACTTCCTATTCAGTTCCAGTAAAAAGACTGTTGTGATCATAGGAAAAATTCACTTTCTCCTCAAAGGAGCTTGTTACTCATTTTCAAACAACAGTATTTTGTTTAAAGAATATCATGTTTAAGGTCCTTTAACATGTTACCATGACCACAAGTCTCCCAAAGGGGAACTTTATAGGCAGTTTCTTAAAAACATTTTCCCCAGAGCACTGCGGTCTGACACGGTGAAGCTCTTCCCCTCAGACAGAAATTGAAACCAGAGTGATGATGCTCATGTGAAGCTCTGAAAAAGAGAGAGAGAGAGAGAGAGAGAGAGAGAGAGAATCCTAGACCCACTATTAATTTTTCATTAGGGATGAGACCAGGAGTAGATATTTCTAAAAGCCACAAATTTGAAGATGAGCCAGCTTTGGGAATCTCAGTCAAGGGCCCCGGATATTGTTTGAAAGGCATAGAGAAAGCCATGGGAGGCAAATAGCTGTTTGGGATCCCAGCTGAAAAACTGAGAAGAAAATACTCAAAAGATGGGCAAGTACAATCAGAGGTCAAGATCTACTCAGTTACCGTTTTCTAGGCCCCCTCCAGTGAGGAGCAGGAGGAGGCAGGTTGCTTTTAGAAGAGGACACTCTTTGCCTCTAAAGCAGAGGGAGGGAGGTACAGAGAAGCCTCAGTGTTTTGATACCAACCTTAGACTTGGCATCTCAAAGCTCCAGGCTGCCTGGCAGCACTACACAGCTGGCTGGCCCTGGAGGAAAGGGTGGGCCTTGGGCTTTGAAGTTAGCTGGGCATACTTCCCCTGTTGCCGCTGGGTGCTCAGGACAGGATGCAGAGGCATGAGACAGAGCCTGCTCACCAAGATCTTTGTATCACATACAGTGGGGCGGAAGTACAGGCCTGGAAGGGGCCCAGACTTGGCTTGAAGATTTTTAAGAGCTGCTCTCAGCTGCACTACAGAACATACCCAGTACAGGGAGGCCCGGGGCATGTGTCACGAGGAAGCCAAAATGTTCAGGGCTTTGACTACTAATTCTTCATTCTCAATGTTGCCAGTTCCCTTCATTTGGCATTGATCATCCAGAGCCAAGAGCCTTTCTTAATTTTTTTTCCTGCCTTAATTTTTGGAGGGTACAGGGCTTAGCATCAAGCCTGGCCCAAAGTAAGAATGTAATAAATATTTGTTAAATTGCCCTGGGTTCTCCTTTTTAAGGGACCTGAAAGTTCTCTGTGTCTCTCATTATGAGTTAACATCAGTTGAGTGTTCACCTGAATGAAGAACTATTGTCCAGCCAATAACCTGCACATGGGAAATGTGCAGTAGAAGCTTGATTTGTTGGTTTGCAACAAATATCTGCAAAACTGTTTCATTTATCTGAGTGTTCATTTGATTCTTGCGTGTCCATGTGAATTTAAACACTGTCATTAATTCTAGACACTCTTCAGTGATCTCCCTCCCCATCATCTTTCTTCAACTTCTGCTGTCAATATTTTTAAAAAAGAAAAGAAAAGAAGAAGAAGAAGAAAAAGAAGAAGAAGAAGAAAAAGAAGAAGAAGAAGAAAAAGAAGAAGAAGAAAAGAAGAAGAAGAAGAAGAAGAAGAAGAAGAAGAAGGAGGAGGAGGAGGAGGAGGAGGAGGAGGAGGAGGAGGAGGATGAGGAGGAGGAGGACGAGGAGGAGGAGGACGAGGAGGAGGAGGAGGAGGAGGAGGAGGAGGAGGAGGAGGAGGAGAAGAAGAAGAAGAAGAAGAAGAAGAAGAAGAAGAAGAAGAAGAAGAAGAAGAAGAAGAAGAAGAAGAAGAAGAAGATGATGATGATCATGATGATTTGGGGTTATTCTCACCTCTCTGGTCCAGACAAAGACAATAAGACACCTACATTCTAGCAGCTGTGTGATCTCAGACAACTAATTCCTCTGAATGTCAGTTATCCCACCTGTTACCATGCAACATAATTAGCAGGATTAAGGTAACCAAAGCATGTGGAACAGAGGCAGTGCTTGGTATATAGGAGAAACTCTTATCATAGTCTCCATCTGAGAATCTCCTAGCCCTGAGGTCTGGGTCTCAAGATCAAGATTCCCAGAATTGCAGAGCCTTTGACTTGTCACTGGCTCTGCAATTCTGGGAGACAAGGAGAGAGACTGAACAGCAGGGGCAGGGCTCAAATGCTCATCAAGTCCAAGGGCTGTTTAAGAATGTGACACTTTACATATAAAGTTCTATTTATTAATAATGGCAGGACTTAAGCCTTCTTGATTTTTGTTCACTCGTGTACCCAAACATTTTTAGAAGGCTTTGTTTGTGAGTATGAGCAGCAGGCTTGCTAAATGAGGATGTGCATACTTCATACTTGAACAAAGAGCTGCCAGGTCCCAGTACAAAAGCACAAGTCCCCGTCCTTGCGGATCCTGTGTTCCTGAATTACAGCCTTTGTTCTCAGGACCTGGGAGGAGGTAGCTCACTGGTAGCCACCACTGCTCAGGTGGTAGAGTTAGAGGGAAAGAGTTTTGAAGCCAGATATATCCCACAAATACGTCTGAGCACCTACTGTGAGCTACGTATGCACTGGGCTCATCTTGGGTGAATGGGAGCCAAATTTATCAATGCTTTTTATCACTTGAAATAAGTTTGTTGATACTTATTAATGCAATATATTTTACACTAGCTTTGTCTGGGATCTGCAGGAAGCGAAACTCATGTGGGCTTTGGTTGGGGCCCAAGTTCTCAAAGCCCCAGAGGATCCAGGTACAAAAAAAAAAAAAATTGCTCCCCTGGACAGCTGAAATTTGAAGGAGACTCATGAGCCAACTCACTTCTTTTTTACTGTCACTGTCATCTCTCATGTATAAGTACAAACATGTGTGTAAGTCTGTAAGCAAAGAGCCAGCAGCTCTCTGGGTTAGGCTGCTCTCAAATCAATCAGGATCTCAAATCCACAAGTTCTGCTCAGGCCTGACATTAGAAAGGGTCACCCTTTACATCTCTGTTGATTGGCTCCTGTGGACTAACATGCATTCCCCATGATTCCATTCATCTGTTCTCAGGACAAGCACTAAAATGCTTCCTTATGTTTCGCCTTGGAACATGCTCATGGAACACTTACTCACGTGCCTTTTGATGCCCACAGAGTCTGGAGCTGATTAGTTTTGTTGTGCCTGCCTGCATTACAGCATAAGGAATTTAAAGTTCAGAGAGATTAAATACATTTCTGAGGACAAACACAATGACAAGCCTGAGCCTCTCTCATAAAATTTATTTAACCCAGTGCCGACCAGAACCTTAATAGAAACTAGATGTAAGAAAAGAAAAACCATGAAATGGGCAAGTGAAGAGTGTAGCCAAAGAATAATCTGAGGCTCATAACATGGACTTTGTCTCTTTTCTAAATGGGAATATTTGCTTTCAGGTTTTTGCCATGTGACTGCTATTTTAGAAAATGGATGTGGCTATTTAAGAAGCACAAGAGGAGGGATTTGGATGCCAGTGAAATGTGTAGATACATGAATCAGCATAGTCAGCTATCCCTGGTTGGAAAGATGGAGAGCATAACATGAGTGCTCAATAGCTCATCCCATATAGAAGCAGCTGCAATGTAACACAACTTACTGAGATCTTCCCATGCATCAACAACAGTGCTAAAAGTTTTGCATGTGTTATCTCAGAAAATTTTTCACAATAGCTTTTTGGTGTGGACATTGTTATTGGAGGACCCTAGGCCAGGTTGGAGTCACCCATCAGATCCATTAAGTTGCTCATGAAGGTAAATCTGGCCTGTATGGCCCCTCAGAAACTTCTATCATTGGGTGATGTGCTGGTTCTGTGACTATCACATGTAAGAATATCACCATGTCTCTGAGCTCCCTGTGCCTTCCTGTGATCATTTACCTACAGATTGTTCATCTCCCTCCAGCCTTGAAATCGATCTAGAAAAGGCTCAAGACAACAGAGAGCTGCTCCCCAAAGGCATGCTGTAACTGATAAATTTATAAGCCATTCAACAATCAGGAGAGGAAAAGCATCCAGGTTGTCCACGCCTGCTGTATTACCCTGAAAGGAGAGTGAATCTGGTTCTAAGGCTTCATGAGCTCAAAACCCAGGGACAAGCACAATTTCATTTCTCAGGGTCAATGAGTGTGATTTTCTCTGGACCTGTCCCAGTCTTATAGCATAAAGGACCAAGGAATACTAAACAGAAGAGTGACGCTATGGAGCTATGGGAGGTAACACCCAGCTAGATAAGATCAGAAGCCTGGTGCAATACTCCTGATCTTGGTGCAACAGTAAGGGTGACATCATGCAGAACTTAGGGACAATACTCTGTGTGGCAAGTGTTATTCGTTCATTAAGTATTACTATTCTCTTAGCCATCTGTGAGACCTTGTGTGACAGAAGAGGCAGCTGAGTGCTGTGGTTTGGACCTGAAATGTCCCCAAAGGCCTAGTGCAAAAGTCTTGCTTGCCAGCCCATAGCGCTACTGGGGAGTAATGGAACTCTGAGGAAATGAGCCTAGTGGGAAGAAGTTAAAGGTATTAGACCACACTCTTAAATGGGATACTGGGACACTGACCCCTCCTCTCTTCTTTGTTGCTCAATCATGGTGAAGTAAGCAGATCTGCTCTATCATGAGCTCTCCACCTTGACGTTCTGTCCTACTACAAGCCCAAAACAACAGGGCCTGAACCCCAACCATGTACTTAAACCTCTGAAACCATGACCCAAAATAAGTTTCCTCCTTCTAAGCTGATGTCAGGTACTTTTTCATACCAGTGGAAAGCTAACACACTGGTACAGAGAAGTTAGCAAGCTGGATCTTCTCATCAGGGTACCACCTACTTTTGTGAAGGTTCCAACTTCCCAGAACCTGGTTAATCATTGAACATATTCTCAAGAATCCTCGGGGCACAGTGCAGTGTGCTCAGCCTTTTGGTTCACAGGGCATCTGCTATTTTATGGACAGGAATAAATAAACATGCTATATCAGAACTTTCAAAGGCAAGTCCACAAGATGTTCGGCCAACCCATGTGGACACTTGCATATTCTCTGCTCCTGTTCAACCTTCTCTGGTGGTATAAGAGTCCCAGTGCAACCTCTATCCACCATGCTCACACACACACACACACACACACACACACACACACACACACAACAGATGGCCCTCTCTGGCACACCCAGCTTCAGAAAGCTTTCTCTGACCTACTCCAAGCCCCACAATGCTATACTGGGCTATGGTAGGACTATAGCTCAGTTTGAATCTAGTTTACTAGTTGTGTAACTTTAGGTGTGGTGTTTTCCTCTTCTGTGCTTCAGTTTCCCAATCAGAAGAGCTCTTTGTGTACAGGAGTACAAGAGTGAGTACAAGGGAGGCAGTCAGCAGCCCTCTGTTATTCCCACAGCTAGACGATCCTTGGCCTCATCAGGTACTACTGCAACAGCAAGCAGAAACACCAAAACGACACCCAGGATTTGGAAGCAGATTTATTTTTGAGTAACACACACTGATAGGAATCATTCCCAGAATATCAGTCCCCAATCTCCAGTGGTCTAGGGCTTATATGAAATAAGTAAACAGGAAGTACAGAGGCAGAATGACTTTTCAATTGGGGATTGGTTTATACAATGTGCATCATAGAGACCAGTTATGCATCACAGTGACCAGCAGTTTCTAAGAGACAGGAGCAACTGGACCTGGAACAGGAAATATTACCTGGGCAATTAACAAACTGAAGTATATCAGCTGGTGGGGTTGATACTTTCTGCTACACAATAGTGGTGTCTGCTCCATCATGGGGACCCCCAGAGAACAAGGCCAGATCCTCTATCTCTCCAGTACCTACTCAGAGTAGGGTGCTTTGT